ATGAAAAATACTGTGTTTAAGGAAGCTGTCTTTTGCAGAAAAGAGTCTCATTGTTGAAGGAAAAAGGGAGAAGAAGAAGGTAGACCGACTGACCATGCAAGTGTCCTCGTTGCAAAAGGAACCCTTTACAATTACACCAGGTAAGCTTGACCTCTCACATAAGAATTGTGAGTGTTGCGAATGATAATAAAACCTCTGAAAAGACAGATCATTTATTTGTTATAGATGAGACCGAACTTAGGAGTCATCATCCATTTTAAAATAAGGCTATTATATGAAAACCCTCTTTTATTCTGTAGCATCAGTTTAAACCATAAAAGTTACATGATGTTTAAACTTAGCTGGAATAGGATCTTCAGTACTAAGCACCACTAACAAGGGCAGGAGCAGCTAGAATAGAAGGAAGTGCCAAGTCCTTGAACCCTGATCTAGGTAATGTCAAGGCAGGTAAAGAGACTGTCAGGATGCCTAAGTGATAGGAAAAGGCCTGATTAATGTTTGACTTAGAGTAGCATTTGACATCATACTCAAGTAACTTACTTGCTTTTTTAAAAAAAACAGTAGATATTATAGATAAATGTGAATGTGATTAATAGCATACTTGATTTTAATTGTTTCAGGAAGAGGACAGAAGCTCTGTGAAATTGAAAGGATACAATTCTTTCTGAGTAAAAAGAAGACAGATGAACTTAGGAATCTGCACAAACTCCTCTACAACAGGCCAGGCACTGTAAGAACTTTAAATTCCCTGTGGTGTATCTGTTAGCTCTCATGTGAAAACGTTTGCAGTGGTTTTTTTCACACTGCACATGTCAACCTATTTCTTAAGTGTCATTTATTACAAACTACATAGAAAATGAGTACTGTAGGACCAGTTAGGTAAGCCCATAGTTTTTTTAACTCCTATAAACTACTCTTCCTATAAAAATCCTCTGGCGACGTGTACTGCATTGGAAGTCTGCTCAAATGTAGAATTTTTTATATTTTCTAATGGGAGAGGGGTGGTTTACCTTATGAGGTGAGCTGGAAATAATTAATGATACACATACTAAAAGCTGATGACAGTCAAAATACTCCATGTAGTTATCCTGTTCAGCACAGCTTTTCCTTAGTTCTTCTATTTCTTTTATATTTGAAAACTGTTCGTGGGTTTTAATATGTTGATACTTACCTAGTAATTGCAGAAAGCAGTAGAAAGTAAAATTGTGTTTTATATAAAATCCTAATAGGGATTTTTGTCACATTTATCTAGGAGAATTAAAATGTTAGTTAAAAATTGATGTGGCCCCTCTTGTATTTAAGGATGAAACTGAGAGAAAATGTAATAGCAAATCTTTCTGGGAGCCCTTTATGTATCAGTTATGGTGCCTTAAATTTCAGAGTAAATACGACCCATTTTCCTTGCTATTGGAGGTTAAATGAAAGTAGTGAAATGAAGGCAGATTAGATATTACTATTTCTGTACATTTACTATATTTATTGGAATTTAGTATTAGAACTTTCTGTGTTTTGGAGACTTGAACAGCTAGTACAGAAACCAGGAGCTGAATAGTACTGCTCCAGATGCATGCCAGCTGTAATACCTCAGCCCACTGCTTTAAATGCAATGATTGTTTACATGGCAAAGAAAGATCTGTTGCCTCAAGTATTTAGAAAAAGAATATCTCATTCGAAACTATTTAATCAGAATATTTGGGAACTCGGAATGCTGTTTATTACAGTGAAGGTTAGATCTCTTGTATGCACATTCTTGTGTGTGCTTTGGATTGTAATTAACATTTTTAATAAACCCTCCCAATGCAGCCTGCATATTTTCTGTAGGGGCTGGACACTAATGGAGAAACAGCAGGGATTTGTAGGACTATTGAGAGTTCAAATTATTCTTGAAGGTCTCAGAAGACTGAAAGATTTCGGGTTGTCCTTTAATTTCGTTTTTTGGCAAAAGGAAATGAAGTGAAAAACAAAGAACTTACATGCATTTGGGATCTTGATGCAGCATTTCTCATTATAAGGTTGTTGCAATGAAAGTTCAACTCTGTTCAGATGTCAGATATGATGGTAGAAGTTGTAAATTGCAGGGCATGTAAATGCAAAAGTTGGTCCTCCTGAGTTCAAAAATGTAGTCATGGTCCCATGTAGGACTTCAGAAAAGCTAGTAAAGCAAATCTGCTTTAGCAGGCTATATAATAAAAATGAGTTCCCTATTTTATAACAAATTACATGATACAAAGCATACAACAGACTTCATATTATGGTAATTTTGCAGTCATGTAAAAAATCATGCAGTGCATTCTGAACAAGCTTGAAATGGCAGGTGACTTTATTTAATAAAGTTATTAAAATGAGCTAAAATTAACAAGATCACAAGAAATTAATTGTTGCAGTTTGTCTGTCATAAGATAAATGAAAGCGTAATCCGTGTAGATTTTAACTAAAAGGTGTAACTTTTTGTCAACAGAAAGGTAAATGCTAGAACAGATTTTTCTTGTATGACGTGTTAGCAAATGTGATTGGATGATATCTCTTAAACTGCTTGGGATGGAAAGTAATCTGTGTGTTCTTTCTAGGTTGCATCCCTAAAGAAGAATGTGGGTCAGTTCAGTGGGTTCCCATTTGAAAAAGGAAGTGACCAATACAAAAAGAAGGAAGAAATGTTGAAAAGGTAATGATCCCTAATGCTACTTAACCTCATGCTATACATTCCTTTTTTTTTTTCTCCAAAATTTTACTTGAGATTTCATTTAAACTGTGAGCTGAGTGGCTGTTTACTAGAGCTGTACCATTTTGTTTCTGAGTTCATTTTAATCACACAAACTGATCTCTTAAGACAACTTGGATTGCATTAAGAGGTAAATTGTGAGCTTAGCTTTATCTATTGCATGCTAACTAGCAGATTCCTCTGCCAAGAGAAAAACATTATTTCCTCAGGGCAAGTACAGTGTTGTGAATACATTGTACTCTGTTCATGGTGCAAACCTGCATCCTCCTATGTCTCTAAACCTTCCTCCTTCAGAATCAAAGCCATTTCTGCTTATTATATACTAAACACGCCAGCATTGCTGTAGCGATGTCTCCCCTCATAAGCTGCTTCTCCATTAACAGGAGAAGCTGCTGCAACTTAGTTTTGGCTGGACTGAAAGGGTTTAAAAATACCCTTACATGTTTGTGTAGCTAGTTGTAACAAATGAAAGAATTAATAACATCTACACAATTGATTCTAAAACACTCCTTTTTAGTACTTGTTTGTTGATAGTGGGAAGGCTTCCACAGTTTGAAATTTGAGAATTTTTCTTATTCAGATAGTTTTCCAGGAGCAGGGTTTGCCAAATGCATGTGCATCTACAAGACAAACTGTCTCCTGATGGGAGTTTTGACTGTTTCCCATTTGTTTAATTGGATAATTCCACTTATCTACAAAAGGCATCAAAATAATTATGGACACTTTTTTCATATTTTTATATGAAACAACTACTAGCTTAGTTTTTCTACCCTTCAGTCTTCAGCAAGTATTCTGAAACCTGGTTGCATTGTCATTCTTACATCAAGGTACTGAGTCTTGTGTGCTGGTGTTACCGTGGTAAGTTCTGCTGCTGTTTGTAGCTCTGTATGGAACACCTGCTGATTAGCTTATTAATTTGTTCTGACTATGTGCCTGATTGTCTGTCATATTTTAGCAGCATTGTACAAGATTGTGCTGGTTTGAAAAGCAAACTGGTGAGAGACTCTGAGTCAGAAGTACAATTTAATATGAACAACACAACAAAACAACACAAATGCAACAGTACAAAAAAGTATAACCTGACAGAGTCAGAAAGTAACCTGACACCCTGTCAGTCAGGGTGTAGTAGTAGTCCGATTAAATGGTGCTGCAGTCCTCCTGGAGTGATGGGTTTGTTGGAGCAGTGATCCCGCAGATCAGGTCCAGCAGCAGCTCTTGTCCTCTGGGAATCCAGCAGGCAAAGGGCTCCCTGTGCTGTCCCAAACCCCAGCTTATATCCCTGTGAGCATGTTTGGCTCCCCACCCCTGGGGTGAGTCACCTCACCATGGGACAAGGTGATAAGGATCACTGGGAGGATGTGCCATGCATGGGTCCTTGACAGCCTTATCACTGCCCCACCTGCTTTAACAGCTTGTGGAGATGATAATAGAATACATACCATGGATACCCCTCACACTGCAACCCAGGACAGCTGTGGAAGTTAGTCAAAACGTACGTGTGTGTGTGTGTGTTTGTTCCACACATGAGCTGCATTTTAATACTTAGTCATTATGTTTGCTGTTACCCACAGATTTACCTTCAAAACATTACAATTAAGAAAGGATTTACCTAACTTAAGATGCAAGGACAAAAGCCACGTGTAACACGAAATGCAGAATTTTAGATAAAGCAACAGTTGAACCATAGAATCCCAAATTCAGTATACAAGGTCTTGAAAGGCTGAAACAAACTTCACTGCTATGTGGTTTTTAAGTCTGGTTCTAACTCTATAGTATTGTTTATTTTAAAATGCAAGAGAATGACCTTTAATTCTTCAGGAATACCTTACAATATGCAGTGTATCCCCAAATGCTAAACAGGCACGTTAAGATTGCGCATGTTGTTATAACCTTGCATAAGAAAATGATTGAAAGATTTTTACTTCATGGTTGAAAGGATTGTGGATGAACTAGGCTTTGAGACAGAGATGCACCAAACTAGTTAAGATTTCCTGCTCCTATGCTTTAAAACATAGGGGAACAAAGTTGTTCTTCCCACTTGAAAGTCTGTGATCTTAAAGGGACACTATGAAATTAACTGCTGCTTTAGAGAAGGTGTAAACAACCATGAAATAGTTTGTCTTTTTAAATAAACAGTGGAAAATAAGTTTCCTTTGACTTTGATTCCCATAAATAGCTATAAAATTTTTGAAAATGGTCAGACAATAAAGTCCACTTTTCAGGCAGCAGAGTACTAAATGAGTGAAGAGGAGAGCATGAACATTTTGAAAGGGGGTAACAGGTAAAAGTAATGGGTAGAGTAAGTGTGTGTGTGTGCGGTGTTTTTAAAATGCCATTAAGCTTGTACTCTGGTGCCATACCCTCAAGGTTTGACTCTTTCCACTTTATCATTTGACCCACTGGTATTGAAAAAAGTGAGGCAATTTGTTCAAGATTTGTTTGGAGTAGAGGGGATGGTTATCAGTTTCTCTTAACCTTCTGTTTTCATCAGAGGTACTTCTGTAAGAGGGTAAGGAACCAGGGAACATAAAGGGATGCTCCCTGACCACTTAGTGTTCAAGTTTTTTACACACTGGATTTATTCCTAAGGTTGATTCTTTCCGTTATGGTAGGTTAGGAGTGATTCTGGAGAAGATACCTTTCTTTACTAAGATTTTATAGCTTTTTTTTTTTCCATATCCTGCTTTACAGATGTGTGTATTTGGGAATTTTGTTTTATTTTGATTTATGTAATGTGGTGGTGATTCTTGGCTTAACTACAAATAAAACTGGAAGTGTGGTTACCTGTATGTATATTGTCAGGTTGCAGACACAAACCAGATAGCAGCTTTAGCAGTCAAATGTTGACTGTTTAAGATGCGATACAGAATCTTTTTTTCTCCTCCAGGTTTAGAAATGCAATGTTGAAAAGTATCTGTGAAGTTCTTGACTTGGAAAGATCAGGAGTTAATAGTGACCTCGTAAGCAGAATATTAAACTTCTTAATGAACCCAAAATCCTCAGGCAAGGTGAGGTGCATATTGTTTTGCTTGCTCTTGTAGCTCTGTTCTGTTGGAAAATGCATCTGTCTCTATTGCTTATTGTTTGCTCGTTGCCAGTGGTGGTACAACTACGATTCTGACTTACTGAAGTAGGAATGACTTCTTGAAGGAGAGTAGCTCTACTACTCCAGGCATTTATAATGGAGTGAGGACTTACACTCTATATTTACATCTAAGTGTACCCATTATACACTGTTAGAACACAGAAGTGTATGAGGGTCAACACCTGAAGCTAACTAGGATATGCCTATGTGAATACCATAAGTAGCTTCTCCTTTGTGGGTGAATGGAGGAGAATAGACATAGTATGAAAGGACAGGAAAATAGACTTTCAGATGTTACCTGTGTATGCTACATTTGGACACCACAAAATGGAATTTGCTGCAAGGCTAGGAAAACTGAATTTAACTAGTATGTGCTAGTGCACTATATTCGTCTGCTAAGACTATTAAACTCTGTTGTTAATCTTCTTGTGCTTTCATCTTTCAATCTAAAAGTAATACTTAAAATAGTTGCTTAAATACTGTTGCTCAGGAAATTAAACTGATTCCCAGCAAGCACTGGTAAGTGATGTCAACAAGGAGTCTGCATGCAGCTTTAGGGACACAGGTACTGAGTGACAGCAAAACAGTTTTACAAAAGACATGACAGAATTCCTGCCTTAAAGTCTTCTGAGTTGTCAGCTGATTTGTTGCCAGTAGAAGTCTTACTTTTATGGACTGGGAGGGCATAGGTAGGGAAAAGGTTCCTTCTAGATGGCTTCTTGTTGCTTCCCTTCCCTAGCCCCTCCAGCCTTTGCAGATTTGTTTGCTTAGGGAAGAGGTGCTTAGCTTAGAACTGAAACTTCATTTTGTTCAGCTCTATCTCTCTAATGAATATCTGCTAGCTGCAAAATGTTAGGCCTTAAGTGTAGTACATATGAGAGTCCTGGGTTTTGTTAAGAGTTGTCTATATTTGTTTACCTTTCTTTCATGTGATTTGAAGGAATTTATATTTTTTTAATCACTTTTGTATTCCTACTTGGATTACATACATCTCTTGTCTCTCAGCCACTGCCAAAGTCCAAAAAAACACCAAGCAAAGGTGGCAAAAAAGAGCGCAGTAGCTCTGGAACAAGAAAAGCAAAACGCTCCAAGTGCCCAGAGATCTTGTCAGATGAATCCAGTAGTGAAGAAGATGAAAAGAAGGAAAAGGATGACTCTTCAGAAGAAAAAGAAAGTGAAGATGAGGTAATGAGGGGTTTTGTTTGGTTTTCATCATAGGACTAGAAACATTTGTCTGCAGTTTGTCATTATGTCGTTGTTATCAATTGGGCATTCTTGGAACACGCAGAGTTGGGCAGTAAGGCATGTCTAACTGAATGAATGGTTTGAATTACATCTGTAATTCATAAGAGGTTTTCATAATTTCTTAGTGCATTGAAGTTAGAGAATCAATTAGATAAAAGGCAAAGATTCTGTTTCTTAGGTGTGTGTGTGCCTTATAAAATCATTTGCTATGTCATTTTGGGGCATCTAGGATTTCTAACATAATTGATTGCATTTCTTATATCATCTTACGATGACTTTATTGTAATTTCATAAAAATTTCCAATATCTACCTACCTTTTTCTGTGTAGGGTTTGATTTGATACCCAGGACTTAGCTTGAATTCAGTAGGGGTCCCTGACCTATCTGACTGCATTGAGTTTGGATTTTGGTTCTATATCTCTCCTGGGTTTTATGTTCTAATCTCTCTCTTCAGGTTCTGTGTCTCAGATTGCAAAGATAAAGTTAGAAACATAGCAAGCAGCCTTAGAAAGATGCCTGCAATGTCTGAAGTGTTCTCATCTCACTATATTTACTTTGAAGCTTTTTGCATCCTAGGAGAGAGAGATCAAATCATGGAATAGTTTGGGTTGGAAAGGAGCTTTAAAGGTCATCTGGTCTAACCCTCCTGCAATTAGCAGGGACATCTTCAGCTAGATCAGGTTGGTCAGAGCCCACCTGGCCTGGAATGTTTCCAGGGACGAGGGTGTCCACCACCTGTTCCGGTGTTTCACCACACTCATTGTAAAAAAACTCCTTTATATTATCCCTTGAACTATTGCAACAGGCCTTTCTTATAAAGTCTGTCCCCATCTTTCTTGCAGGTCCACTTCAGGTACTTCCTGGCTGCTGGTAAGGTCTCCCTGGAGCCTTGCCTTCTCTTCTCCAGGCTGAACAGCCCCAATTCTATCAGCCTTTCCCTGTGCATTCCCCTTCAACCCTGTAGTTAGTCACAGAATAACCACAAAAAGTGGAGGATCAGTAGAAGTCTGCAGCTGATTTATTGTTCATGTGCCTGAAGCCTGGAAAAAAAAGAAAATTAAAGAAGCTACAGGGTCCATTTTAACCTGTATTTTGGTTTAGATTGAGCAGTCTTTTTAGGCTTAGTCAGACCCTTGCAACAAACAGCACTTAGTTGACTGTTGGTGTCCAAAAAAATTCTTTATGTAAACTATGGAACCTCTGGCTGTAATGTAAGACCACTATTTACTTGGGTCTGTGTATTTACTTCTCTTGCAATGAAAGTGTGACAGGCTGTTAAGTAAATAGTCCGAGATACCGAAAACAGTAACAAAAATCTTTTGTTGAAAGGCAATTTACATAACTTAAGCAGTTTGTTTTGTCAGGGTTGTTTTGATGAGTGTTGGTTTTAATGTAAAAAGATGGTTCAAGGAAATTCCCTCTGCCTTCATGAAACAAACTTACTTCTTATTGTGCATTTTTC